GAGATAACATAGCCAGCCATATCTCCGTCGGTGTTATTAAAAGTTGTGAAGAAAATAATATTTGCTTTGTTTTGCTACCTCCTAATAGCAATCACTTATGCCAGCCTTTAGACGTAAGCGTTTTCAGACCAATTAAAAGCTAATGGAGACAAATTCTGAGAGGTTGAAAGAAACACAATAAAAGGGTTGTAAGAAAAGATATATTCCCTCGGTTGTTAAAGCGATGCCTGGAGAGTGTAAATAGTGATAACAATATTAGATATGGATTCTGTACCGGTTTCCAACGCCCAGAAATTTAAATAACCCTCCAATAACCATGGTGGGGTGGACCAGTCCATATCGTTCCAGTGAGTGAGATTCGGATTGTGCTTTAAGCTAAGTCGGGCTGGCCCAAAGTGCGCGTAGTGCGGAGAATCGGGAGGGCAGTAAGGTACCGGCAGACGATCGGGAATCAGCTGAGAGCGACGTGAGAGGACAGCTGACATGGTGGCTGCGAAGCACTCGCTATCAATCTCAGACAATTCACGCTTTTATAAGTATTATACTTTGTTCACTAGTTGCTAACCACAATAATTGTTTTTGTATAATAAAAATTTCTTGTAAAATTGTTGGTGTTGTTGTTGTTGTTGTTGTTGTTGTTGTTGTTGTTGTTGTGTCCAATTTAAAGAATATCCTGTCTAGAACCCACGACAGATACGAATTACGAGAGCAAGGAGCCCCTGTGCAATTCGATGCAACTGGCATAGTGCCGATTAACCGCCAAAAAATCCTCTCTAAACTTCCTAAAGATATTAAGGGTGCGGCACAAGCAGAAAATATGTTAGGAGATACTATTAATGAACTGTTTCAAGAGGCGAGATTTGGAAGAGCAGGAACGTCCAGTGGAGGGCGAAAAAAATAAATTGTCAGTGGAACCTGGCAAAAGTAGTTGCCAAAAAAATATTGAATATATATCGCACACATAAATCTCAAAAAATAAACCATAGACCGAACTCAAAGGGAAAGTTAGCACTCTCAAGTTATGAGAGTGAAGACGTATGAACATCCTACTTGCAGAAGTGCAAAAATGTATGGTCTGCAAATGATGATTCTGATAATGAGCCCGAAACATTTTCTGACGAGCCTTCCCAAGATGAACTGGTTGATGACGACTCTGAGAACAGTATGTGTAAAGCAACAGACGTTGTGAAAAATAGCAACGGTGTCGCCGGAGAAGTAAAATGTGGTGATTATCTTTCTGTGAACTTGAAAACAGTTAACGATGATATTGGGCTTGTTGAAAGAAGTGAAATTATAAAGAAACTAACCAACAAGGAAATTATAAGAAGAGGTGAATTAAAATTCAAGAAATTGTTGTATTAAATGTTTAATTTTTATTCGCTGTTACCCAGTTACCAGTTATTAATCTCAAACTAAATGCATTTCAATAACTTTAAGAATTAATTTTAAGTTTCTACATGTAGTATTTAAGTTTAATAAATGTTTTGTACCTAGTTTTTGACGAAGTAACTGATTTGTCAAATTTAAGATTCTTCTGATAATAAATTAATACAAAAGTTGTGTTTTTAATGGATTCATTTTGATTTTTGAAAGAAGAATATGTTTTGATGCCGACCGAGGGAAGTTTCCAAAAAGTTTTATCAAGTAGCCCAGCGCTTAAACGAACTCGTATCGCATTATTTATCTGGAAACAACTTGTTCACCCTGCCTACAGTCTTGATCTAGCGCCTAGTGACTACCACCTGTTTCTGCAATTGAAGAGGTATTTGGGTAGTCTTAGCTACAACGGCGATGATAAGGTCACAACGAGGAAGTTCAAAAACTGGTTGTACGATATGATAAATGCCTTAATATTGGCGAAAACTGTGCAGAAAAATAGACTTTTATATAAACATAAAATTGGTAGCAAAAGTCTACTTGTTTCTTTTTAATTTCCAAACAGTACTTACTTTAAAAACATGTCTAATGCCTTATAAATTCACACAAAGAGCAGAACAGAAAGATTAGAAGGTAAGGATCAAACTATTAATCTCCCGGTAAAATCAAATTATTTTTAATATTTTTATTATTAATACTCTTGGATTTTTTATAGGTTCCAGGAAGTATTTTGGGTTTTTGATTTAGTTCAAAATATGCATACAGATAGAGAATACCATCTAGATTTTCAAAATGAAATCAGTTTTTTGATATCCCAAGCATTATTAGAGGTTCTGTAGATAAACGTCGCCAAAAGGTATAGGAAAGTACATAAGGAAGTCGAAGGTTATAAAATTGAACAACCGTTGATGAATAGTGATACATGGTGTTCCATTAAAAAATTTGAAAATGTTCCCTAGAAATTTTTGGAAAGAGAAATTAATTTTTAACCACCATGTACAAAATAAAAAATTAACACTTGATCTAAAACAATCTTTGGTTTATTGGCTTTACAAATGTGTAATTTTTTAAAATTCTAATGTTAAATCCGAAAGAGCAAAGCATTTTTAAATAGGAATCCGAAAATGTAATATTTTTCGGTAAAAAAGTATTTTGCAACTATTTCCTAGAAATATATCCAGTTTAACATCGAGAGAAACTATTGTAGACAAGAGATTATCATCATGTCTGCTAGCCAGCAGCCATCAAAGTACTGAGCTCTTACGCAATCAGCTCAAAAACGGTCTGTAGATGTCTAGAACAATTGAATGAGCTAAGCGAGAAAAATAGAGTTACTCTCGCTTGGGTCCCGAGACATAACGGTGTACAGGGTCATGAGATTGCATATAGTCTCGCAAGGAAAGGGCCTCAAACACCCTTTGTGGGACCTGAGTCGTTTTGCGGTATCAGCAGTAACATAAAATTAGGAGAAATTAAAACAGAATTGGGCAGTAGAAGAACCAATAATTGGAACAATCTTCTGAGTAAATATAACCAGAAAAGATCGAAAGTCTGCATCTGCCTGAGCAAGAACGTATTGTAACAGGGATCCTTACTAGGTATTGCCGACTAAAAGGACACCTTAGTAAACTGAGAGTAGTAGAAGATAGTGAGTGCAGATTCTGTGAGGAGGAGGAGGACGAAACCTCCATTCACATTCTAACTGAATGTGTAGCACTCCAGAATCCTAGGAGCATATCAAATAGAAGAGGGAGATTTACCTATCTTAAAGCCACTCCAAATCCTACACTTTCTTGAGAAGTTAGGATTGGAAGGGTCGTTATAGGCATTGAGACACTTACTTGCTGCACTAGCGACAGAAGGGGGCACAATAGATCTTTTAGGTCGCAGTGTATTAACACCCCATTCTCAACATAATATAACTATTTCTTAAATCTTATATTGTTATCTGTATGCGTTGTCAACCTCAAGCAGCTCAGATTTTAAATAGGAAGTCATCAAAGAATTATTTCGGGTTTGTTCCATGAGAGGAAAAACGAAATTAACGGGTATGATACGAAGCGTTATCCATAACAACAATGTTCTCCCGTTTGTTTTTGTTAGGAATCAGGGTCTCTTCAAACCATTGCTCAAAATAATCAGCGTTAATTTCGTCATGATAATCGCCATTGTTTTCTTTGCCAACAAAATACTACACGCCATGTAAAAATTCACATTCATATCCTGCCTGACCAATAACGAAACGTGGATCTATTTATGTAGGTGCTTTGAGGTCGTTGGATAATCCTTTTATGACAGCATCTATACGATTTGTTATTGTTATAACCAGTTGACCCACATTGACCCAAGTCTCTTCTAAATAGATCTTACAATTTTGTTGGCGATATTGTTTGATGGATGTTAAATACTTGTGCCGTCAATGAATGATGTCATTTGGTTCATTTTACTTTTAGGATCACGCTTCACATATTCAAAAGCAATATTTTTTATCAATTTACACAGGGTTCTTAAAGAGAATGCTGGTGAATTATCATTCCCTCGAACAATTTTATAAATTGCTTTCAAAGTTGGCGGAATGTTCTTTTTTTAATCATTGTGCACAAGTCCTCTCAATAAGGAAGCTCTTGAAACACTCATCATATGTGTATTCGTGTGAATTTGACTGCCTTACTCGCTTTTTTCTTGCAAATTTCAAGTATTTGCCACTTTCTTGATGATATACATTTTTTTCACTAACCTCACTCACTGCTGCAGTCATACTCAATTTTTCGTCATTTACTAAATAACAAATGATTTAAAAATCTCAATTTTCCCACTCGCATGAAGCATTTGTTCATATCTGAATTTCTTAACTTCATGTTGTAGGTAAGAAATCGCAACTGAAAGTGAAGAACAATTTTAGACATCAAGAAGGACGAACGGTTTTCCTATATGCAACCAAGAATACATGCTCTAATAATATTGACTACTACTACTTATGCAACTCACAACATTAAAAAATCTTTCAAGAAGCCTGTCAGCAATAACTTTGTTAGAGATAATACACGTGCTTTGTTAATTACTTTTTAATTAACAGTAAAATTGAACTATAATTACAGATCAATATTTAATGTATAATTGAATTAAGTAATAAACAGTAATGTCGATTTACTGAACTTAATATATTTATTTATATACACTTTAAATGGTATTATCTGCTCACCATGCAAATATTTCTTTTAGACCGGGCCGACCCTGTCACATCTATCGGAAAGACGGCAACACAGTATGTTGGTCTCCCATTAAAAATACATTGCCTATTACTGACCACACTGGATTCTCAGTGTGTCCCAAACTATGGTGACTGTAGAATATCTAAAAATTTAAAAAGTTGCGTAATTCCATTTAAAAAAAATAAGTGATTTGCCTAATTTACTATTGGACCACCCTGTATACATGACAATAATTTTCGAACATTTGGTTTGGACCCGCACTGATAGATATCCTTTAAATAAATCATTAAGTTTTGTAGAGGTTTCCTGGACCCTGTATATTAAAAAATATAAAAGAGTTCCGACTGATTAATATTAATACCCTCAAAATTAAACCACAGTCCAAATCACTAAAAATGTGGAATCACTTACCATCGCCGTGTTTGTTGACCAAATTACCTAATAATTCGACAGCGAAGTCAATTACAAAGCGATTGTCACTTTTAACTGCCAATTTGAACACTACGTGACATATCCCATCGTCTATTGGTACGTCTCGTCTCAAAGCCACTAGTAATCCATATCCGAGTACGAGATTAAATTCTTCAGTATCAACATGCTCGAAAATAACCCTGTAATACTTTTTAAGCACCTCAATTTGGTATTCGTAAGATTGAGGGGCTATTAAAGTAGTCATAATTACTGATACGTCTGTTAGTATTGACATATCTTTAATGCTATTATTAAGAACTAGCTCTATAACGACGTTAAGTACATTTTTGTCTATTAAGTATTTAAATAATTGATAATTTGTTTGTTGCTGCACTACCAAATACCTCAAATTCCGAACGGTAATTCCGGAATATTCGATATTTCTAATGCCTTCCAAGTAATCTTCGATAACATAGTCTTTGAAATTGTCTAAGGTTATTAAATGTGCTTTAGATTTTAAAAATGGCTCCAACAAGGATAATTGTGGTTTGATGTTGAAAATTTTATTTTTTACTTCATCTGGATAATAAGCAGCAATAGTTTTTAGACATTGCATAAAAGATTGTAAAGTGTTTTCGTTGACAGGCGTGAACATTATATTCCGAAGGTTCGTATACAATGTTTCTCTCATCTAAAAATTGGAATCATCAAAAATAATTGGAATATAGTAAAACTATGAAAGGTGTAAATATTTACGAACATCATATCTAACTAACATACTCACTTGTAAAGTCAAATATGGCACCAAAACCACCAAACAATCCAAACCGATCTTCTTAGAACCTTCTCCGTCAACATTAAGTAATTCCAAACACAATAAAGGGATGTCCGATAACTCGGCTACCTCCTCGTCCTGTAAGCTCTTCTTAAAATTCAAATGCGCCCTAACTAAATGCACCAAAGTGTTAACAATGACGGATTTATGATCGTTATATGCAGACATCTTGTAAACATTAATTAAAGTTGGTACGACTTCCTTCATAATAAATCCGCATGTTAGCTGAGATCCGGCTGCGATGCAAACCAAAATTTCTGCTGATATGTTGAACAATTTTGAATCTGGAAGTAGATTTCCTTTGATGGTATCGACGATGTTTTTTAGATGGACCAGAGTTGAGTTGTTGGTTATTTTGGAGACGATTGTTTGGAGGGTTTTGAGACTTTCGGTTTTTGTTTGCGGTGAAGTTGTCGTTAAAATTTCTTTTTGGATCAACGGCCATATTTTGGAAGAGTTTTCCAAGTAGATTGAAGAATCGAACGTTGAACAACCTTCTCTCTGTAATCGATGTATATGTATACTTTAATAGAAGAATTTTATTATGTTTGTAGATTTATTAACAGTTTTTATTTATGGCAAAGAGTTTTCAGCCGAATCTGCTGAATTTTATATATTTGTGTTACAGTTTTTGACCTCTTAATTAAAAGTGTTCAAGAGCCCAAAGTTCTCCTATGACTAGTTTTTAATAAACTTTCAAAAATTCCGCACCATTTAACCAAGGCTCAAAAACGAAGGATATAGCAAAATTGGAAGAAAATTGGTCTTTAAGTGAAGTGGTACTGAATTAAATGTCAGTGAAAATTCATATTTAACATTAAGAAATGTTGGCAAGAAGAACAAAGATTGTGAAGACTTCTGGTTAACTTCACGAATAAAAAATCTCGCTTACTTAGAGATAATAAACCAGTTAATGTACATCAGTTCCATAAAGCCAACTTCACTGGTCTAAACAATTTCTTTATAAACACTGACTGGTCATTCATAACTCATTACCATAACATCAACGAATTGTAAAACAATTTTCCGTCATAGAAATAGGTATCAACCAGTATGTCCCAAAGAAGATAAGAAGTAACAAATATCCTTTGTAGTTTGAAGCTGTGTTACGCAAATTGATTGTTGAAAAGAATAAGCTTCATCAAATATATCACAGGACTCAGCTTCAAAGTGATTACATTAAATACTCCATTAAAAGGCGCGAAGTAAAATTTCGAACTGACTGGTGTTACTTAATGTTTATTTCGACCTCCGAGCACTTAATTCCACAAAACATAAAACATTTTTGGACATTTATTAAAAGTTTGCAGCGAGAGTACGGATTGCCTAATTTAATGAAGAACGGAAACTATGAACTCAGTTATCCTGAAGAAATTACAAATACCTTCGCATCTTATTTCCAAACATGCTATTCTAAAAAAAAATTCATCTTCCCGCTGTGCCATTTTATTCCACTTTAGCCATACACACTTGTGAAGTATCTTCTAAAATAAAAAGTCTTAACTCTAGTAAAATTGCGGGCCCTGATGGGGTACCACCGTCGTTCTTGAAGGGGTGCTGCGATTCCTTGTCACTCCCACTTAGCCAAATTTTCCAAAAATCATTTGATAGTGGAATATTTCCAACTGCTTGGAAAATTTCCCACCTTATGCCAGTTTACAAGAAAGGTGATAAAAGCGATATAAAGAATTATAGAGGTATTTCCATTATATCGATAATTCCAAAACTATTTGAATCCATACTAACTATATCTCACCTCAACAACATGGCTTCTATCAAGGTCGCTCGACATCAACTAATCTAGCAATCGATCAAGATTTTTTAATTTCATCAATTGGTTACCAGGTTGACACCATCTACACCGATCTGTCAAAAGCTTTTGATAGTGTCTGTCATGAATTGCTACTCAAGAAACTCTCCGAAATCGGTATTTCTGGTTCTTATTTTTACTGGATTAAATCTTATTTGAGTAATCGGTGTCAAAGTGTCATAGTGCATAATTCCGTATTATGTGATGTTTCAGTTCTATCCAGTGTTCCTCAAGGTTCACATATAGGTCCCCTATTGTTTTCTTTATTCTTTAATGATGTTACTTCCTGCTTTCTTAATAGCCAATGTCTTCTTTTCGCGGATGATTTAAAGTTTTTTAGTAGAAACACTGGTAATAACTCCACATTACAGTCTGACCTAAACAGGTTTGCTACCTGGTGTAAAAATAACGCTCTTCCTATAAATATTTCTAAGTGCACAACCATGCATTTTACAAGATCGCACAATCCTACTTTTAACTGTTACAGTATTGACCGCATCAACCTAGATAGATCCTCGACATTTATTGATCTGGGCATTATTTTTGATACCACAATATCTTAACAACCAGATAGATTCCATAGTATGCAAAGCCCTCAGAATGCTTGACTTCATCAAGAGACATACTAGGTACGTGAATAACACAAAAGCAATCATGACACTTTACAATGGCCTAATGAGAAGTGTCCTGGAATACTGTTCTGTTATTTGGCAACCTACTTACACCTGTCATATCAATAGAATTGAAAGGGGGCAACGTAAATTCGTAAAATACCTGCTCTTTAAACACAGACTTCATAGCCATAACACATGTTATCAAATAAGATTAATGCTTTGCGGCATGTAGAGCCTGGAATGCAGAAGAAAACCGGCTTTACTATTATTCCTGGCTAAATTAATAGGTGGTTCTATCAAGTGTGGGTCACTGCTTGAGAGACTTCAACTATTGGTTCCTGCCTGACGGACTCGGCACACATCACTTTTGAATGTAAAAAGACACATAACCAATTACGGACAAAGTGCATTTATTGGTCACTTATGCAAGAACTATAACAAATTTTACTTGGACTGTAATATATTTAATTGTAATATTTTGGCTCTGAAAAAGGACTTGCAACTCCTGAATGTCTAAGTTTTACTTGTATCGTCTCGCGGTGTTGTGTTATTCTTCCTTTTTTTTAATATTTTAAATATTTTTTTTTATTTATTTTATTGTTTTTAACTCCTTTAATTGTTTGTTAGGTTAGATATACTGTGCTATTTACTATTTTAAATTCTGTAAATGCTACATAAATAAATAAATAAAATGACCTTCCAAACAAGGTGTAGGGAAGGTCTCCAATGAAAATTAAGACAATACGCTTTTAGAATATATCTGACAAAATCCTTTTGGAACCACTGTGAAGGCACAAGAAGAAATATTATTCCCAGGCTCTCTCAAAACAGCTCAAATGAGTTTAAAACAGCCAACTTACAAAATTGTGCTGCTGCATACAGTTTGTTTAGCTGCAGAAAATAAGCACAGGAAAATCCAGTTTACAAATGAATTTTTAATTCACTGGGAGGAATTTTGGATCAATGTGGTATTCTTCGATGAAAATATATTTCCATCTTCTAACAGTGGAAGGCTACGAGTTTATCATCCTAGAAACTCAAGATTTGAAGGGAATTAAATGTTGGGTACTACTAATAGTGGGCGTTTTTCTGTCAATGTTTGGATGTGGATAAATGTTAAGGGTCCTGGACTGTGCTGACAAGTTTATGGGTGATTATCAACTAAGCATTACATAAACATCTTAGGTAATGTGATGTTACCATCATTAAGAGAAGACTTTCCTGACAATTTTACCTTTCAACATTGAAGAAATCAGTTTGTAAATATTTAAAATAAATTATTTTTATTAAACGTATACCTACCAACAACTTTAAACTATCCAGTTTGGCAATTTCTAAAGAAGAATCCAATTTTTCCAGAGCCAAAGAAATGCAAGATTCCCCAAAATCTGGACTGGCACACAAACATGGACACAAAGCATCTGCCAAATCTTCTCTTGTTATACTCTGAAAAACAAATATTACAACACGAAAGCACAATTAGCAAACAATAAAAAGTTACATTTTCATTTGATGGAGCCCTAAAATCGACAGGAAAATAACAAGCCAGGACATCAAACATATCTTCCGTCAAATGATGCAATGGAATATCCATGAGAAACTCTTTTAACCATTTGAATAAAAACAATAAATTTATAGGATTCCTTTCACCTTGTATAGCTTGTAAAACACCATAAACGAAGTCTAGTTTCATATTCAGAATGTCTAAAAGAAAAATAATTAAATCTGAAATATATGTACATTTGAGTAACACCAACATACCTTGCTTGAATAATTTTAAGGATGTCTCGAAAATTTGGAAAATTGTGTATCTATCAGCTTGTTGTTGTTGCTGGCAAGGTACATTTTGGAAAATAGCATTTAATATAACTGATATTCTGTGTCCAGGAAAATGTTCAAATCCTATTAAGGTCAAAATTCCAGTGCAAGCACCTGGTAATATCTTAAATTCATAATAAATACTAAAACCAACCCAAGTTTTAACTTATTTTAAAACTTACCTGATGGTGGTCCTTTAATTTGGTACTATAAAACTCTGCTAAAATTTCTAACTCTTTTGAACACAAAGAATCTATTGGAATACCTTTTAAAACGTCATTTAATATTAAGACTCCCAATTCTCTTTTATACACTGATTTATCTGTTAATAGGATTTCTAGTCTTTCAATTAGGTCAAGAATAGTTATTTTACTCTCTCGAATACCTAAAAAACAATAATACCACTAAAAAATGGACAATTAACAGCAAGTTTATGTACCTTTGGATATAAGCAAAGAATGTTCTTTGAATGTTGCATCGTCTGTATCTTCAAAACGATTTAAAATACCTTCAAGATCCATATTTTTTTAGTACGAAATTAATATGTTTTAATCAGCAAATTAATAATATTCTTCAGTTATATTTACTTGTGATTTTAAGTACAGTAGTAGGTCATAACATAAAAGTTAGGTTATTAAATTAGTTGGAAGTTGAAAACGTTCGAGGTTTGAAGATTTTTAAACCATAAAATAGATACAATTGTTTAGGAAGGCGGACCTATACATAGAAAAACTAAAGCGACCTATCTCAATAGATAGATGAAATAATTATGAGTTTGTCTAAAAAGGAAAATTAATAAATAAAATAGTAAACAGAAACAAAGAGTTTACGAAAGGTATTATTATTAGGTACTTTTAATAATCTGAAACCCTCTACTTTTGTTGATATGTAAATAATTTATTTTAATTATCAAATTCAATTTTATCTGTTTCGCATCAAAACCAAAACACGTGAAATTTAAAAAAATTCATAATTTTCTACGATTGACATTTGACATTACCTATGACCATTGCGTTCGGTCTGCCAAGTTCCTTTAACTCCTTTAACACTTTTAACTCCAAACGACCCTTTTAGCGTCCGATTAGTGACAGTTTAACACGCTTAAATGTCATTTAAAATTTGTCCCGCTCCAGCCCCTGACTGCCCGAACTCGCCTGACATTTACGATTTTATAATTGCTGGAGCGCGTTCAGATAATTTTACATGGAAGTACTGACATAAGGTCTGTTCTGGTTTTGAGAAATAACGATCCACAACTGTCGGGCTCATGCGCAGTAGATAAAAAGTGTTCTGGTTTTTCTGGGACTACTTCGGATCTCTCAGTCCAGTGTTCTGGTTTCGTATCCGAAATAATCCGTGATTGTTGTAAACAGTCAAAAAGTGTTCATGCTTGGGAGTGTGGATCGACTCGGACTGTTTTGACCGCGCATGCGTTTTTGAAGTGTTATGAATATTGTATTGGCTTTTTAGACCATACGAAACGTATACAATCCCAAATTGTTTATTTATATGTGGACGAATGTCTCTTGTTCTTGTTTTATTTGTAAATTAAAGCAATTTTAGAATTATTAATTTTTTAATATTCTGTTTTTATTTATTCCATTGAAATGTGATGATAATGATAAACATATCCATGCAAATGTTATTTGAAGCTGAGCTTTCAAAAGGAACTTCATTATTATAATAAACAATAAACAAAACACCTTCATGACGTGTTCTGGTTTTCCAAGAATTTCAAACAGTCGGGGATTTTTTGCCTTTACGCATACGGTCCGGCGCAGTTTCAAAACAGTTTTCATTTTGAGAACCAGAACAAACCTATACTGCGCAAGTCGAGTAAAAATTACCCTACTCAACACGGTGGGTAAAATTTCTTCATCCCGACGCATTTTTCTTTAAAATAGGAACGACTAGGTTAATTCGTCCAGATAAAACGTTCCATCTTTAGGAACGCTTTTTAGAGTTTAGACCTTGGTTTAGACCAAGACAACGTCCGGACGCATTTACCCTACATTTCTGAATGCACCCCTGACGTGAGAAGTGACATAGACTGGCTGACACTTGACATGAGAGTTTATTTTGATCACGAACACGAAGGAATTTATATCAAAATATCAATAAATAAATAAATAAATAAATGTATATATTTTATATTTTATATAGTTGAGTGAGTATACTGTGTTTTGTTGATGACATTCATAATGGAGATGAAAAAAGAACCTGGAGATCCATATCAACAAGAAAATTTGAAAATTAAGCAAGAACCTGATTCACTTCTTGAAGTAAAACTTGAACCAAGTGATAAGGAATATGCAAACCAAACAATTTCGTCCTTAAATTATAGAACAAACATAAAATTCAACGCCGAAAATTCCAATTATGTTGTGTCCAAACTTTCAAGCCCTGCCACCATGGACTTTGAGGATATCAAAGAAATACAAGCATCAGACTTTTTTGTGAACATTGACGATATAGTTAACATAAAACAGGAAGCAGAGTGTGAGGTTAAAACCATAAATGAAGAGTTTTTAAACGAAGAATGTGATTTGAAGAGTGAAGAATATTTTGACCAACCCAGTAGTAAGCAATCCCATGAAGTTTTAGATCTACCTGAAGAACTTGATTTGAAATTCTTGAAAAAGAAGTATCCCTGCCCCATCTGCAATAAAAGTAGGTTGATATTTTAAACTTAGTTGCCATATTTAACATTTTACGTAAATAGCTATCAATCCAATTTTTTTATAATATATCTAAACACATATTCCCTTAGTTGAAAATTGAAAATATATTTATTGAAATAGGTAACCCTAATATACAAACAATTTGTTTTTTGTTACAAACAACAACTCAAATTCAAAATACAAATTTAGCAATTGAAGACGTTTTTACATAAATGACACATGTTCAAAATCAGCTTTTTTTTAAGAAAAATCAAAAAACATGTCTCTCCTAATAGACCTTATGATACTCTCTAAATTTGACAGTGAATATCTCTGTTTGTGTTAGTTTTTTAACAAATCACCATTCTTGTCAGTAAATACAATTGTTCACTAATTATTACATTTAACCCAATTGTTGTTTTTGAAAGAAAGTCTTCAATTAGTATGTCATATTATCTTTAGTTCACATTATAGCCATTGTAAGTTTTTAAATTGTCACCCTGTATAAGCTTCATGTTTTTATTTTGCCTCTGTTAGCCTGTATTTACCTATTAAAGTAATACTGAAATAATCTGATGATGTTAGATATGTGTTGAAAAACAAACACTTGAATAAAAGACCAAGTGTAAGAATTTACAGTGATCAGACCAAACAACAGAGAGAGTATTTTAATCATGTTAAGGGTGAACTCCAAAAATTAATTGATAATGGCAACAATGACAAAACAATTAAATTTATAAATAATAAGCCTACAATTGTGAAGAAGCAAGAGCAAAAAAAACTTACTGTAAACCCTAATATACTCTATAATAATTACATAATTTACCTTAATTCACAAAGAATTGTAAAGAATAGAGAGCAAATTCAAGAAAGTATAGCATGTTACAATCCTAAATTCTGCTAAGTGAAACCAGAACAACGGCCGATATTGAAGATAGTGAAATTGATCTTGAAAACTATAACCATGTACGTTGTGACTCCATGAGCAAACATACAGGAGGAGTGATAATCTATGTAAAAAACAATTATAATTTTAACTTTTTTAAAACGTTTCATTTATGGGATAACTATTGGTGTAAAGTTGTGAAAATTAATTTTGTGACAGCTACTTATCTAGTTGGTTGTCTTTATCATTCACCATCAAGTTCTCATGCTGATTTTTTACATGGCTTTGAAGAAATATGTGATGTTTTATTCTCAACAAATTTTTCGTGTATACTTCTTGGAGATTTTAATCTGGACCTACTGTCCAATACTTTCTATGGTGACAAAATTAAAAATATCTTTTTAGCTTATGGTTTAGACCAACATGTTACAAAGCCTACTCATATAACTAATAATAGCGAAACATTAGTAGATTATGTTGTATCTAATATAAATAATGTTTTAGTTGACGTCCTTGATACTCCTAAAATTACTGATCATTCTATTATCTCAGTCAATATACAAAATATTAATAATATTGATGATAGCAATATAATAAATAAATTTAGAAACCCAAGTGAGGAAAAACAAGATATTATTAAAAGTAGCCTGATAACCATTACCGTTACGTTGTCACCTCAAAAGTAATTTCGATAAAAACAAATACACTGTTGGTGTATTTCTGGACTTGCGTAGAGCCTTTGACACTATTGATAGAGAGATACTAGTAATTAAACAAAAACAATATGGTATACAGGGTAGTGTACTTGACTGGCTTTGTGATTACTTGCAAAACCGCAAACGAGTTCGTTATGGTGATCAGATATCTTCTGAATTAGAAAATAATAGAGGAGTACCGCAAGGTAGTGTGCTTGGTCCACTGCTTTTTATCTTATATATGAACGATATCGAACTAGTCATAAACTGCTTTATTAATCTATTTGCAGATGATACCTTTATTGCATGTAGTGATTCAAACTTAGAAAGTGCCATTCAAAAAATGAATGATGTCTTAAAAACTCTTAGTAAATATTTATCAATTAATAAAATAAAACTAAATGTCGAAAAAACCAATGCAGTGATATTTACATCTAAATACAAATATAATTTACTAAATTTAAATAATATAAATTGTTACATCAGTTAAGTACTTGGGGTTTTACTTAGATAATTCTTTAAACTTTGATGTTCACTTTGATTATATTTACAAAAAAATATTAAAAAACTTTATTTTTTTAGCAGAATAGCACAAAATTTATCAGTTAACACAAGAATTACTGTTTACAATACCTCATTTTGATTATTGTGCATCTATTTTGTGTACTTACTAAAACTCAATAAACTAAACAAGCTTCAAAAACTTCAGAACCGTGGTATGAGGATAATCTTAAGAACTAATAGATTTACTCCTATAAGAAATATGTTATATTCTCTTAAATGGTTTTCAGTAAAAGATAGGTTATTTTATTTTCCATGATTTTGGTTTATAAAATTGTAAATCAGATAGCTCCAAAATATTTACAACAATACATCACATTTAACAAAGATGTTCATTCACACAACACAAGAAATGTTAATAATATATGTATATATTTCACGAACTTGTTATAAAAGTACTATGGATTCATTATTTTTTAAAGTTTTCTCAGATTTCAACAACTTACCCATCGATGTGAAAGATTCACATTCTCTCAATGTATTTAAAAGAAAGATCAAAGAATTGTTAATGAATACCGGATAGAGGTAGCTAATATAACAATAGTTTTGTTGTGTTGTATTATGTTTTGTACTCATTTATTGTAAATTTATGTAAATTCTTTTTTATGCTTTTGAAGTCGATTGTTTTACTGTGTTGAATTTAATAATTTTTTTTTATTTCTTACTTAAATAATAACTGCCCTTTTTAGCAATTGTATATTGTATTTATATACAGATTCATCCATCGTACTAGGAACATGGTAGACATGATGACCAATTGACGCTTTTCCGCAACGGTCACATTCAAATTTTGTGCTTTTATCGCGGGCGAAAATTATTTCTTTAGATTTAAAATGAATGTTTACGAAATTGCTGAGAAAGTACAAATTGTGAAATGGCATTTTCAAGGCAACACAATTCGACAAATAAGCGGTTTGTTTGAGGCGACATTTCAAAATAGGCCCATACTATCACTCTCAACAGTACATCGTATTGTTCAAAATTTTGAAATTCATGGCTGCGTTTCTCCCAATGAACATAAAAAGGCTCAAGTTAATAATAATCAGAATGAACAAGAAGATAGGGATAATATGATTTGTGCAACTGTGGAAGAGGTTGCGGAAGTTGTAGGTTCCAGTGAAACCACAGTAAATAGAATTTTAAAAAAACATGGATATCGATCTTATAAAGTAAGAAAATGCCAAGAAATTTATGAAACTGACAATATCAGACGAATGGAATTTAGCGAGGCAGTAATGGATAAAGTTAACAATAGCAACAATTTTCTTTACAATGTTGTGTTCACCGATGAGTCGACTTTTCCATTACTTGCCAGGCATAATCCATCCCAAGTCCGATATTGGTCTCGAGAAAATTTACATAAATTTGTAACAGTTCGCACGCAGTTCCCGCAAAAGGATGGGAATACTAGGTGAAAATGTAATCGGTCCTTTTTATATTGAGGGTAATTTAAATAGTGTTAAATATTTGGATTTACTCAGACATCATATTGTCCCTGAGATACGGCGATTGGCAGGAGCTCGATTTAACAATATTTGGTTTCAACAAGACGGATGTTCTGTGCATAATCGTGTGACGGTGCAGCACTTTTTAAATGAAACATTTCCCAACAGATTATTATCAGGGAAAGGTACAATTATGTGGCCAGCTAGATCGCCGGATCTCGCACCTTGTGATTTTTTTTTGTGGGGTTATTTAAAGTCTCAGATATACAAATTCAGGGAAGAAAGAGCTAACGACTTAGATGAGCTGAAAGTGAAAATTTCAGATGCCGTTCAACTTATTAGTCCCAATATGTTGGCTGAAGTAAGGCGATCATTTTACGATCGCTTGGGGTACTGTCTTGCCCAAGAAGGAGGTCTATTTCAGCACCTATTACATTAAAAATAAATTCGTGTTCTTTTATTATTGATTGTAATTTATTATTGTCTATTGGATTCCATTTTATAATTTTTATTTTTTTGTAATTTTTTAATCTTAGTTGTGTATTTATTTTTTTATTCTTAGTTATGTAATTTTTTAAAGTTCGTTTTGTTTTCTTTTAATGTTCAATGTTTGTTCTCTATTTTTTAATGTTTGTATTGAATTTTTTTCCATTTGAAAACAAAATCAAAGTTGTTTTTTATAAATTTTAATCTGTTGCTGTTCTTTCTATTGTGGAGGGTCTCAAAAAAAGAGAAAAAAAAAAGAAATGAAAATGAATAAAATAAAAAAAAAGAAAAAAAAAATGTCGGCGCCGAGATTCGATCCTACCTCTATCCGCGTAAGTAGACTGTAGTACAACACCTTACCCACTGCGCTACGTCAACAACTATTAAAGTTGTTCAAAATTTTGTATATTATTACAAATTCTGGTTGATGGTTGCATTATTAAATTTCGCTATTTTCATGTCTGAATATGTTATGTTTGTTCTTTATCTTCATTTATTTATAAAATATTCATTAATAATAATTTCAAAAAAGCCAATTTTCCACTAATGTACAATTTAATTTCCAGTATTGACTGGACATTTTTAGAAGCCTTTAATAATGCAGAAGACGCTTTGAAAAAATACCGGTGTTACTTCCGAATATTTCTTTGGTAAAAATGTTCTGTAGCATATGTCGCTGGTGTTAGAAGAATTGGGTTCTTTTGTAGAAATAACTAACGAGTCATAGGTAGTAGAAAAAGAAGTGTTTTTAATTTACTATTTTCACTGAAGAAAATACATAGTGGTTGATTCCATTTAGATATAATAATTTTCTTATCTTCACTAAACACTTTTAAATATTTACAATTTTAGTTCTTCACAATTTGATTAACTAATATAGTTGATTTTTTAGTTACCAACTTGAAAACATTTGTTTGTAGAATTTCTTATGCCATAATAATTGTAGAAGATATAACTTGCACCAGAAAATAAACTGCATTAAACGCTTGTAAAAATGTAGAAAGTAACGTGCCATCGGCAGAAAGCACTTGAACGTTCGGATAGCAAACAACTGTGAGCGATGATGGCAAAAAGACAACTGATGAACTGATTCTTTGGTGGCACTAAGACAACTACTGAATGATGGCAAACATACAACTGAACTGCTCGCGTCGAGCGCACCTTAATATATACTGTTGGGACGAACTGAGTGTCCGGGGCATAGTTCACGCACCTATTCGGTTTCAACCAATGAAAACATCATGACATAATGAAATACGTCATTTGTGCTTCGTTCACTATGCGCCGGACACTCATTTTGTTCCAATGCACCGCTGTGCACTTAAAAACACAGGTGTTCGACGTTCGGTATTCTGAGAAAAATGCTATTTATAGTTTTATGACTTCACATTATATTAGGGTAAAAAGCAGTCGAACTATTTGAGAATTGTTTATTTATTTAGTAGGTGTAAAATATTAATTTGTTGATGTTTTTACTGGTGAAATTGTAGAATTTAACCACGCTTGTACATACTTTTATGGAAATTTATATAATATTCTTGATAAATGTTGTCCCAAATATTCCTGCAAGCATCAAAACAAATATCCAGCGTGGTTTAATAGAGAAATAATCAATCAGTTACGAGTTAAAACTAATATGTGGAAAAAATACAAACGAGAAAATGATTTAGAAGCCTTTGAAGACTTCAAACGCATAAGAGCTGCTTTAAAATTAGAAATAGACATTTCTTACAGAGCATATATTAAAAAGACTGAACAAGAGATATCTAGTAATCCAAGTAAATTTTGGGCATTTATAAATAGTAAGAAATCACAATCCAAATCCCCTCAAATAATGTCTTATGACAACAAATCACTAAAAACTCCATTAGATATTCTCAGTGGATTTTCTGACTTCTTCAAACAGTCCTATATTACCTCTAGCCCGTTTATTGCTAATTCAAATTCACGACTCAATGTTCCGTTCCTTAATGTCAATTGTTTTACCGAAAAAGAGGTATATGAAGCTCTAAAGTCTATTAAACCTAAAAAGACAACTGGTCCAGACCATATTCCAGCTTTTATTTTAAAGGATTGTGCCTTTCAACTTGCGCCTCCGTTAGCCACCCTCATAAATATATGCCTCAAGACATCAACAGTTCCAGATATTTGGAAGACCTCAAAAGTATGTCCAGTTTTCAAAAAGGGGGATAAAAGAGATATAACCAATTATAGACCAATATCCATAATATGCAATTTCTCCAAAATATTTGAAATTTTATTGGAGAAAACCTTATATCATTATGCTAGTAAAATGCTATCAGTCAATCAACATGGGTTTATGAAAGGTCGCTCAACAGTCACCAACCTGGTTACCGTCACACAATACATTGCTGAATCCATTGATGAGCGCGCCCAGACTGATGTCATCTACACAGATTTCTCAAAGGCATTTGACAGACTTGACCACGGTATTCTTCTTGGAAAACTTACAGGGTTTGGGTTGTCCCCCCCTTTGATAAATCTCTTTCAGTGCTATCTAGTAAATCGTACTCAGTTTGTACAGCTTAATGGGTTTAAGTCTGTCAAATTTATTTTCATCAATGATATTTCGAGTGTAATTAAAGAGCAGTTTTTACTGTATGCAGATGATTTAAAATTATACAAGCGTGTGACAAGTATTGGCGACTGTGAACAACTTCACATGAACTTAAATCTAGTGGTTGAATGGTGTAATAATAATAAACTTGAACTTAATCCAATTAAATGTAAAGTTATGTCTTTTTCTCTAAAAACCGACCAAATAAAGTATAATTATTTAATAGATGTCTCACTTCAGCGACCAGATACTTTTACAGATCTTGGGGTAATTTTTGATCCCGGATTGACCTTTATATGTCACATAGATAAAATGATAGAAAAATCGTATCGTATTTATGGTTTTATAACTCGCTGCACCAGGGATTTCAAAGATGTAGCCACATTAAAAACGTTATATTACTCTACCAAAATCTTCTTCAAAGATATCACTTTTTAAGCCTCATAAAAAGACGTGAATACCATTGTTATGTGTTAGGTTTCAAAATGGTTAACGGTTTAATTGATTCTCCTGAACTGTTGAGAAAAATTGATATCTGCATTCCGAGAGTATCCTCTAGAAATTCTAACATATTTCACATATCTGTACCTCGCACAAATGTTCTGAAAAATTCTCCATTTCATACTATTAGCCGCGTTGTGAATAGTGTGAGTAGTGACATTGATATCTTCTCATGCAAACTCAGGGAAATAAAATGTCATTTCCTAACATAAAAAAAAATTGTATTCTATTATATTTTACCTACTAGCTGTTTACTAATTTTTGTATATTTTGTACCACTTAGTCTATATAATGTATGTGTTCTTTTATTCCTGCTCTGTAATTGGGATTGCCTGTAGAGCATTGTAATAAATAAATAAATTAATACTCAACTCTGTCGTGAAATGTATAAAGTTATTCCAAATATGTCATATGCGAAAGCTTTGGAATGACAGTAGTGGACAAGGGTAAATTGGTCATCAGTTTGACCGTGTTCGTAGTATCGTGAATGGATCTGTATATTTTTTTATTATGCTTTGTAATTTGTGTTTTATATGTATATTAGGGGTTCCTAATTATTAAATAAATGATTATTATTAATATTTATGTTGTGAATATGGGAAGAAAAAAATAATCATTACAATATTTATATTTATTTATTTTCAGGTTTAGAATCGGCAGTATCAAGAAAAAAACACTTTGCCTTCCATTTCGAAAACGGACGTGCCAATTGCACGACATGTGGCAAGGTTTTCACTAACAGAACCAAATTTTTGAATCATTCTCTCCTACACGCCGCACAAAAGGAAACTGACTGCGACGATTCATCAAAACACGTATGCGAAATTTGTTCCAGGACATTGAAAACAAGAAAAACTCTTTTGGCGCACATAAAAAATCATTCTCTCCTCAAAACGCCCAAGTGTAAAGTGTGTTCGATCCAGTTTAAAAATAAATTAGAATTGAAACTGCACATGTTGGTCCATAAAGGTAGAAAGCCATTGAAATGCGACATTTGTTCGAAAGAATTTTTGTGTAAAAGTTTCTTGGACATCCATTACAGATTCCATTCAGGTGATAAACCCTTCCAGTGCGAGATTTGCTCTAAACAATTTCTGGTTAAATCATTATTGGATCATCACATGTTCGTCCATAAAGGTAAATATAGTGGCAATAAAGATGCCCAATTAACACACTTTATAAAAAGTTGGTATAATTAATAGGCTTTTAGGTCGACCTTTCCACATTCTTCTTCCTAATTAAATAAATATGTTATGTAATATAAAGTATAAATAAACAAGAATGTGTCTGGTTGGAGACCCATATCTGGGTCCAGGCTATTTTTAATCCACCTTTCCCATTTTTTGACAATTTGGCATTACACATGTGGAAAAAACGTGACTTTTGAATCTACTAATTTTCCAAACAACTAGACATTCCAATGTCTTGTATATCTAAGAGGGTTGTGACATAGCCTTCCATCTTGGATGCTATTTTTGTTCGAAACAGTAGTAGCCAAGCCTGCAAATTTATGAAAAATATATAAGCGGTTTTTTTAAATATTTTTATTGTGTTCGACATCAAATATTTAAATTTAATCCATTATTCATGATTTCACGGGCCGAATACTTCGGTCGATAGTCCTTTTGGAGTACCCAATAAATATTTTTTCTTCTTCTTCATGATTTCACATGTTGTAGATAGAATACATCTATGTTGCAATCCCTTTTTTTATTTGTTTTATTTATGATTTATATATACATTTTATATTAGACAGTTAGTCACTTAATAATAACTTTAAAAAAAAGTGTAATGAAGTCAATTTTCATTATTATTATTATTATTAACTAATTCCGGGTAATAATTTCGATTTTTAATTAATTGCAACTTCGTGGATAGGCCCTGTATATCATCCGTATTGCCGCTGTTCGAAAGCATCGAGATACTCTACCTGCGCGCGCGACAATGGTGATTTTCTGATGTGGAAGGGCATGGGACGACTGAACCAGGTTCGAGATTGAATTAAAAATTTCACTTGCTTTTACACTGTGAAATCGAATAGTCGAATAATTAATACGATACATTTCCGAAACCCATTTCTACCCGCAATTTTACCGATAGGTAAATTGTTGTCATTTTTTTCTTTATAATTTTTTTCTTGCCCGAGACTTTAAGCCCTGCTATTTGAAACCGATTTGATTTATTTTTAATTAACAGTGTTCCGTGTTGAGTTAAGAATTGAAATTTGTTTTGATTAAGGAATACTTTAATTTATTCTTGTTAGAATACACCGTTCTTAATAAATTTCATTTTAGTTTATTTAAAGTTTTAACAGTTAAATAATTTATTTTTCATTCAATCGTAAATAAAGTCTTATAGTTAATTTTTCTTACTAATGGAAATTTCCGTGAATAAATAATATATTTCATTTTAGTTTATTTAAAGTTTCAACCCTTAAATAATGTATTTTTCATTCGATCGTAAATATAGTCGTATAGTTAATTTTTCCTACTACTGGAAATTTCCTTGAATAAATAATAAATTTCATTTTAGTTTATTTAAAGTTTTGACCGTTAAATAATTTATTTTTTATTCGATCGTCAATATAGTCGTATAGTTAATTTTTCCTAATACTGGAAATTTCCGTGAATAAATAATAAATTTCATTTTAGTTTATTTAAAGTTTTGACCGTTAAATAATTTATTTTTCATTCGATCGTAACTATAGTCGTATAGTTAATTTTTCCTACTACTGGAAATTTATGTGAATAAATTATAAATTTCATTTTAGTTTATTTAAAGTCTTAACCGTTAAATAATTTATTTTTCATTCAATCGTAAATATACTTTTATAGTTAATTTTCCTACTACTGGAAATTTCCATGAATAAATAATAAATTTCATTTTAGTTTATTTAAAGTTTTAACCGTTAAATAATTTATTTTTCATTCGATCGTAAATATAGTCGTATAATTAATTTTTCCTACTACTGGAAATTTCTGTGAACAAAGAATACAGTTTATTAAAAACATCCAATAAATAATTGGTTGGAACTGTTTGGGAATTGTCTAATGTTTTGAGTGGTTATATTAGTAGAATTGCGACGAGACATTTTCTTTTGTTTTATCCTCTGAACTGCAGATTTTAAGAGAATTTAAATAGCATCATTCCCTGTCTGAAGCGGCTCGTGATTACGATCACTTCATCCATAGATAAGGTGTTATCCTGGTTATTAGTTTATTTTACATCTAAAACATTCATTTGCGTAAGTCTCCGTTATTTCAACAGAACTAAAATAGTACCATTCCCGTCTGAAGCGGCTCGTGATTACGATCACTTCATTCAGAGATAATGTGCTATCCCGGTTATTAGTTTATTTTCCGTCTGAAACCCTCATTTGCGTTAGTCTCCGTTATTGAAAGTGAACTCAAATAGTATCATTCCCCTGTCTGAAGCAGCTCGTGATTACGATCACTTCATTCAGAGGTAACGTGCTATCCCGGTTATTAATTTATTTTACGTAAGACTCCGTTATTTTAATTGATATTAAATAGTATCATTCCCCAGTTTGAAGTGGCCCGTGATTACGATCGCTTCACTCAGAGATAATGTATTATCCCGGTTGTTAGTTGGTTTTACTTTCCAACCACTAGTGAGTAAACCTCTTATAGAGTCCCGGTTTCAACCCTGGAATTATTATTGTCCCGACACCTGTCTCCTCGCATTCTCTGCATCCGCATATGATATTTTGCCGAAGCATTCAATTACATTTGATTGTAAATACCGATTAGACAATTTAACAGTTAATTTTTGCTACGACCGAAATAATACTTCCGAACGAAATAGCAAGATACATTTTTAACTCATCAACCGAATAGACAACTCAATAATAAACTTTTACAGCGACCGTGATTATTACAAGTATTGATTTCATTTTTTTCTTTACGTCTGATTGAGACTACTCGAAAGTCATTTCCGGCCATTTTGTTTGTTTATTTTTGTTCAGGGTTTGTGCATATTACCGTGAGGGTGGGCGTTGAAATACATTAATTTTTTCCTTTTCTTTTGTAAATACTTTAAAATAATATATGTGTCAATGTTAACTGGCCGTATTACTGGTTGTTAATTCCTAAATTTATTTCCCCCTTATATTTTAGCTAGTGATGAATTCAGTACCAGCCCAAGCAACGATTAAAGCCCGTTACTTTTGGCCTACTATTACCTGTGTCTAAGTGACCTTGACCCCTGGAATTTTTCATCTCCATCTGTACCTACCCGAGTACTTTCGACGCCGTTTCGAAAGTTCGTGGAGTAAACCATCACCAAAAATCTGGCGCTCGAGAACCGCCCGTAACCAGCGTCATTCGTAAGGAATCGTTTTCTCTGTGGCGAGAAAACCCCTTACAAAAGAATGAAAAATAAGCACCTAGGTGTAACCACATGTTATGTGCTATATTCTCTTTGTATTTGTAAGGTGTGGAGGGTGGGTGACCCCCACGGAACTTAGGCCTCACTAGGCCCATTGTGCATCCTCCTAAGATGATGGGCACCTCCTAGCTCATGAACCAGCCAACAGATTTAATGTAGTTGACAACGTCGCCAAGAGGTGCTTCTCTTATATCGGCCGGTGTTAGCCGATACTCGCCGAACACATTTTCTAATAAATGAGAGTGTTGAATGTGCTACATTATAAAAACAACTAAAGTATGAAGTTATAGAACCGACATTATATAATATAGTGATGGTAACATAGAAAACAATATTTTTCCAATGTGTGGTGGAGGTGTATCAGTCAATTTACAAAATCGCCTTGAATAAATCTAAGTTAACAGTAACATTGTTTAACTCCGAGTCAAAATATATGTAATTTGGTTATATTTTCATGTTTATCAGTAGCTTATTAAACATTTTGGGTGCAACTGTGGGTTGATTGTTGACTGACATTTGGTGTCATCAAGCTGTTATTTGACTTGGCTCTTGTGTTGTGTAGCAGTAGTATGTTTTTTATATATCAAAATACAGCATAAGTAGAGTAGTCTTATGTTTAGAATTTCATTATTGTTGTACAGAAGAGCTGTCAGGAAAAGCGATGTTTTTTCTAGATAATTTTGACAATGCAATTTTGTATAACTTTAAGGTTGTGTCATATAAACCCTCCAAACAATTATCCCATATCGAAGTATTGACTCTACTAGTGATTTATAAATAAATATTAGATGTTTACAGTTTATAAACTTTCTCATTTCATAAAATTTGTATATAAATCTCCGTAATTTGGTTATAAAAGATTGCATTTGTTCATTCTATTTGAGATTTTGATCAATTATGATTCCTGAATATTTTTTTTACATATTTATTTTAAAGTTATTGTTTATGTGTAGGTTAAAATTCGGTCGGTTTAAATTTGTTATTGAAAATGTTATAAACATAGTTTTGCTAACATTTAAAGATTTAAAATTTTTCCACAACTCAGTAGGGTTACCCTTGTTTAATCTAATTTAGTTTCGAAGTCTTTTAATTTCTCATGTTTACCTATTTACATTCACTGCTTTATTCCTATTACATTTATATATTTGCCAATTTTCCTCTGATTTGTTAGTAATAATGTTTTAGAACATTTAACTCTCACACTAGAAGCAACTCTTACCCCATCATTCCACAAGTTCTGATGTAAAATTTTAACTTGTTTTTAGGCTTGCCTACTTAATAAAGATTTCTTTCTTTCAAGGGATCAAGCCGTTCAAGTGCCAGACTTGCGATAAAGAGTTTACACACAAACCGAGTTTCGATAGACATGTTAAAAAGCATCAACGACCAGATTTCTATTCCGTTGAGGTAAAAACCGAATGTGATAACGGATTGATCGTCTACGAAACTCAGCACGTACCTTTCGTCGAACCTAGGCCATACGAATGTCAACTTTGTTCGAAAACATACCGCAGAAAGCAAGAACTGAAAAAACACATGCGCAATCATACAGGCGAACGACCGTACGAGTGCCACATATGCCAAAAACGGTTCACCTTAAAGCCTGTCTTGCAAGTTCACATGAAAGTCCATTCAGGCGAGAAGCCGTATTCGTGCGATGTGTGCTTCAACAAATTCAGCCAGAAGAAGAATTTGTCCGATCATATGAGAAGCCACACGGGCGAACGTCCGTTCAAATGCCAGTTTTGTTCGAAGGATTTCTTCTACATGAAGAATTTAAAGGAGCACGTGTTGAGACATACGGGCGAGAAGCCTTTTAAATGTGACACATGTAATGCCGAATTCGCAGCTAGTAGATATCTCAAAAAGCATTCCAAGATACACACCAAAAAGGAGCTTAGTACCTGAATTTAGCTCGTTATAATAAGTTATTTTATATTAGATAATTAAATATAAATAAGACGAGAGGAAGGATATTATTATTATTGTAACGTTTAATTTAAAATTAGTTTTTTATCAATTTTTATCCACTATTTATTTACAGTACCTGGCACCAATGTAGCGTTTATTTATTCAGAACAGTTTATTATTATAATTTATTTAAACAAAATACTAATTAATTTATACATAATTCGATCTGTCTTTAACTGTCTCTCGACTTCAACTTAGTACGGCAAAATAATCCACTTATACACAAAATTGTAATAGCTTAGATTAATCCAGTCATCTCAACAATATCGATACTACTAGATGTTCGCGAAATCCTCCACACGTCGGCAGGCGTACAAAGAACATTCCAGTAATTACTCGATTCTCGAGGCGGGCAGTAAAAGCGAGACACGCAGACGAACTGCTGAACGGTGTAACCAAAGATCTCTAACCAACGTTTTTTAAAGCGTTTAGCGCGTCTCTCTAGAAACGCGACAACTCACAAAAGCGTTAAGCACGAACGTTTCGGTATTCTCTACTTGCTGTGCCGTGCGCATTTGAAAAACGTAAAGCGCTTTCAAAAAAGTTACAGATGAGCAGCGTTTTGCTGTTCACACTTCAAGTTTTGACATATGAGACTAAGATTTGTGGACGTAGATAAGCCAAATACTTAAAATATGGACTTAAATATTAATATATATCAAAATGTTATTTAAAACATCGAAGATGCTGAAAACCGCGAGATCTGACACTACTATAACCCGTAGAATGTTTTCGAACTTTGCGAAAGGGTGATGTGACAAACTTAGCGGCTCTCATTGAACCCTCAGTGCCGAATCAACAAATAAACACTGCATTGACTGTAAATAGAAAAGTGAGTACTCAGATTTTAATAATTTAGATGATATAAAATATTATTAACTTTGAAATTTCTCATCTTCTAGTTATTAGCAACACTCCGTTTCATGGCAGGAGGTAGTTATCAGTTGGAAATTGGCAGAAACTTTCAGATTTTTAATTTCCCCCATCTTTCCTGGTCCACCACTCGTTTTTATATGGGATTTATTGTTTCTAGATTTTTGCTTTGGTTCTGAATTTGATGTCATTCCAAGACTAAAAGCAGAGACAACTTTAAAGTCATTATGTCGTGACTATAGGTAATATTATATACATAATATTTATGAAGGTAAAAGTTCGTTCATAATATTTTTTATTCTTGTTATTATTAAAACTATTTAAAATGAGCTTGTACTTTCTCTAGCTGCAAGTAGGTGTTAATAATAATTTATTTATACAATATATTTATTTTTATATTGCCATTAATTAATATTATTGCAAACAATAATACATACCTTTCTCCAATAATTCCAGTCTTTGATTACTCCATTTAATTTATCAAGTCCTCCCACATTTTTTTGAATCAACAGTTATATGCTGGTTATTATGTTTTTGACTTTTTATAATATTGGGATTGGCCTCAATATACTCCATTAGGGCTTGCTTTTGGGCCCTAGAGAGTTACTTTTTCATTGCGTTCATTTTTAATGATGAATTAATTATTAATTATATCACTGTCAAAATGACATTCAAATACTAACCTTAGTTATTCAGACCAATCAACATTTACGACTTATAATTAGGACAGCTTACGACAAAAATAAAAATCACATGCGAATAGCAAAAGCGTCTAGCATTAGCGAATACCATAATCTCATGCTTGTCGTTTTGGTAATCGAACTTTGTTGAGAAGTCCGCTTAGCGCTTTCATTGCTATACGTTTTCGGCTGAAAGTTAGAGAATAACCCCCCAGGGCCGTTCCCAGACAAGTGTCTAGCTGTCACACTTTTCAATTGACATTTTTAAAGTTTATTTTACAAAAACTTCATTTTCTTAAAGGAACATTCATTCCATGATCATGACAGATGTGAAAGTTGACAAAGATTTTGTTTATTTTTGTCTATCAAATTCTCTTCTGCCTTACTTCTATGCAGGCGAATTATACGCCGATGTATAACGATTGCATTATTAGTAAGTAAGAGCAGAATTAGATTTTTGGCTCCAATTTGAGTTAATTTTTATTACAGAACCCAATAACTTTGAAATTAAATATTTAGGCAACCGTTTAAGCTATGAATCTGCAGTTTGCGGAATTGAAACGCACGCCGGCGAATTAACACAAACTAATAATCTAAAAAAACCGAAATCGAATCACATTATATGTGCAACCGACTATAAACAATCTGCAAAAATGCAGCCCAAATACTACCTGCCTTGGCGTTACTTTTTAGAGTCGCGGGATGGGAGGCGGCACAAGCAGTGAGCAGACCGTCCCGAAGCGGATAAGAGATCCATATGACCTGGTGAGGTTTTGTTAAGTCTTCCATTGGTTCGCTCTGAACTTCTACTCATCTATAAAATGATAGTAAGAAAGGTTCGCGCGCTATGGATACTACTTAATAATTAAAATTAAGGAGATAATCCATAAAATTTATTTTACGTATATTATAGAATGTTAAATAAACTTTTTCAGTAAGTAACACCTTCATCCTTTCTAAATTTTACGCCACTGTCCAAAAACAAATATTTGGACTAAAATTTTTTGATGCATTTTAAATAAATCACGTTTTCGAAATATTCGGAGGATACTTTTTGTTTTAATTTTGAAATTTTGACTTTTTGATACAAAAGTACATTATTTAAAAAACATCAAAAACTTAAAATTATAATCCAAATAAATTTTTGGATATTGTCGTAAATTTAGAAGTGATGAATGTGTTGTGTAACGTACCCATGTCGTTCGCACTGGCAAAGTTTATTTAACTTTTTTTTATGATAGGTGTGTCTTATGACAACAAAAACATTTGCCGAATTTTGAAAAATTATGCTGAATAATATAAAAATTATAGCCATTAATGATTGTATTTCAGAAACGAGTAACATTTTACCAAACATGTTTAATTTAATCGTCTTTTTAATTAGAGAATCTACAGTTGTTCTGTCGACTACGATAGCGTAGGTGTCTATGGCGTGTACATCATCTGCGAGCCAATTTTGTGGTAGACACACCGGGTTTCAAATCCTACAGAAGACCATATGAATTTATTTGCATGGTTCTCTATAGGATTTGATGGATGCCGTATTAGTAGAAATTTAATTTCTGTTGATATGTCATCAAGATTATAAAATCGTCATGCGTCACCGTTTTCGATGATGGTGAGCGGCGGTTTCCTCACCTGTAAGTCAAATGGCGCCATCAATCATCTTTAAGCCGCCCCGGAGCGCCACGGCAAATAATAAATTGAACAAGTCGCTCAGTTGACTTCAGTGGTTGAAATTTACTCGTAAGAGGGTGAATTAGGGAGAATATTACTATTATTCTTAATGAGACCCTGTATTAATTGAAAAATATACGGAATTATATGATACTGCTCAATTAAAATTTTCTTAATAAAGTTTGAAACTCGCTCTACTTCTGTTAATTGGATGAATCCAAAATCTCGCACGCTTTTTTATTTTGCGCTTTTCTTCCTCTTCAGATAGAAGAGCCAATAAAAGACCTCTTCCATGGAACTCATTTTCTTAACTAAACAAACTACAAATTTAAGGAGAGCGCGAGCAAGATTGTGTGCCATTGTCAAATGCGACTGATTTTGTGTAGACCGCGATCAGCTCAGAACAGACGGGACCGCGACCCTTAATGTGTTCCCTCTTTCAACTTCTGTAAAAACATTGCTGTTTTCAATGACACCTACCATAAATTTAGACATAAAATAAAAAACAATTGTATTTTTTTTTAACTAGCCATGTTTTATGTTGTCAGTTTTATATATCTTGATATGGAAACGTCCAGTATATCAATTTTCCAAATAATTACAAAGGCCTAAAAAGAGGGTTCGGTTCTAAAAATTTACAAATAATATAATATAGCAAATATCAAAATAGTATATTAAAGTATAAGTGGATATAACGATCTTTAAAACACGCGCGATTTTTCGAGCACAACGGCACAAACTTTGAAATCCTAAATATTGGTATTATTTCTACAAAAAAAATGGAAATAAGAACTAATAACTGAAATTGGTTGAATTTGTGATGTAACATCAGTATACCTCGTTGTCATGAAAATGAGACAAACAAAAATTTATTTTCAATCTGTCACGTAAGATTAATTGTCGCAACAGTTGTTATTGTTTAAAATGAGTTCAAATATTGAGTATTTAAATAATAAAGCGCGGAATCGCGCTTAATACCACAAAAATCCGAAGCGGTTGGTTTTTATAAAAAAGAATACGATAAATTCAACACGTGGATGGAACACTGAACTGTATATTTAAATGGAACGCCAATGTCGTTGGATGCGCGTGGTAGAAATAGTTCTCTAACGCTGCTAAAAACGTAGTGAAATTTTCATGAAAACACTGTACTTTTAACATTTACGATACTCCGGCGCATGCCCATTATTGATGTGATCTCATGATTTTACAGAGCTGGTTTTTGCAATTTTGAGTGTGATTTTAAGGTTATTACAGTCATTCGTTTTGTTTGGTTTTGATCTTTGACGTTTTTAGATGATCTATCTTTACAGTTAATAGTTTTTAATTTCAATTTAATTGTGTGGTTTATTTCTATTTAATCGCTACTTTTTGTTTAGTGCTTTGTTCGTTTTGTGCTGAAATTAGCTTTAGAACACTTAAGTGCCTGCTTTTGGTTGATACACTATACCTAATAGTAATCAGATTTAATCAGACTCTTGTTAAAATGGGGAAAAAGTGTATGGTTTTGTGGTGTAAGAGTCAGACGCCTCCATTTTTCAGGTAAGGATGACTAGTTATTTTTTATTCAAACTAGGGGGTACCCATGTGTTTTTGACCCCCTTTTTCATACTTAAAAGGATAGCAATACGTGGTTCGGGCGTACGGGTGTTATATTTTAGCTATCTGAGCCAAATTGTCGACTAATTCTTCCCTTTTGAAGCACCCAGAACCAAAAAGTTATCATGTGTTTTTTTTAGATTAACTTCTGATAGGTATTCAGCTTGGATGAGGGCTTTAGGAAGAGATCCCAAGGCTGAAACGTTGACTTCTGTAAATGCCGTTTGTAGTGCACATTTCGTAGAAAGTGACTTCATTCTAGGAGGAACTAGGAAGCGTTTAAAAAAACATGCTGTGCCAGCTATTAATTTAAGACCTCGTAAGCCATTGATGTTACCTACTAATCTTCCAAGGTAATTAAGCTATGACAAATATATATTTATTAAATTATACTTTTTTTTATATGTATACCTAACTACAAAATTATATGTATGTAGATATCGATAATATATTTATGGATCAGAGCCCATTAAAACAAGACAATAATATAGAATACCTGTCATAGTCATTCAATAATAATAAAATTCTAAATAATACCTAATACTTAATAACAAATTAATTTGAAATATATCTATATTAATAAACAATTAATTAAAAATTTAAAATCTATACCTCACATACCCATATGTAACTGGTTACAAAATTCTGATGAAGAAATAATAATTAATTCTACATATTTAGTCGATTAACAGATCTTGTCACTCTATGAATAAAAGAATGAAAATCATAATTTATTATATGGAAATGTTGGCAGAATGTTAATGGTCCTATAGTTACTCTAGCGTTTTACAGGGTACAGAAAAAAAAACAATTTGGGATAACATGTAGGAACAATCGGCATATGAATTAATTGGTTAAATAAAACTTTTAAGAATATTATTATTTATTACAGCTATGTGGTTGAATCAACAGATAGACCTAGCACATCATCTGGAGTTTATGAACAAAATAAAGAGAATGAAGATATCCAGGAAATAAGTAAATTTACATATGTTTCTGACTTGCAAAGGTAATAATATGAATGTTCTTTTTATAATAATAATTAATACTCACAGTTATACTAATTATAAGTACATGTTTTCTACTGTACGTATATATTTATTATAAATACTTATTTACTTCGCTAGTTTATATTATTGTTTTATTTTTGACGAATCATGTACATTGTAAAAAATGTCTACCTGAAATAAATTATCTGTCTATTGTAATATTACCCACCAAGTTGCTTGGCTGTCACCGTAAATTTTTGATTCGGCCGAAACATTTATAAATATCTTATTTTTGTAAATAACATTACAAATGTGAAAGACGTATTTCTCATCTATAAAATTGTTACTAACGATAAAGAATTCTATTAATTCATTAAAGCAAAAATAAAACCTATACCTATCACTGAAAATTTTGCTTGAGATGGGGTCGTTTTTATGGAAAATTTGAATGTTACTATACTTTACTAATAAAGCTACAGTTACTTTATCTTAGTGTTTTATTTAAATGTAAATATATTTTCTCAATAAAATTAATGCAGCTAGTAAAGGTTTTTAGACTTAGTCACTTTAAACATTCTTATGCTTCCCTTTGATGTTTGTGTAAAGAAATCTATTGTTTCTATGCGCTTAACAGTCTCCATTCGATCCTTTTTGGAAAAGCCTCCAAAGGTAAGTTTTAACAAATTTATATATGGGTTTATCCATTAAAAATGATTTTTAAAGCAAATATTACTTTTGTTATTCTTAGAGTAAGCAATGATAAAATATCTATACTTTATTACATATTAATTTTGTTTTTTTTAAATAGATGGCTTTGATTCCATATTATAAAATGTTTGCATAGTTTTAAAAATAAGTAACTCCTCCTAATTCCTATTTTTTGACATCTACATACGGTAAAACAAGTGGTAAGAAATATAACTAAAGATTAAAATGGATTTTCTTATTGTTGAGTTTTAAAGATATTAATTTCTCTTAATTTAAAAAATAGTACATGAAATGGCCGAAACGGACCTGCAAAGGCACTTTGTGCGCATTCTCGCCAGTATCGTTGGGACGTAATGCGCGAATTCAATTTGGCTTACTTTTGTTAATAGGGATTGGCGTTCCATTTTAAGTATACAGTTCACTGGGATGGAAGAGCAAATGGTTACACATATAGATGAACGAGTTGTTCTCGCTTATCTCCAGAAAATGTCGAACAATATAAAGTATCGACTATGTGGACTATCCATTCAAAATTACAAAGTATGTTGAGGATAAACAAAGGGGTCGATATAAAATCGTTCGTCAAACTGCATGCATTCATGAAGGCAATTAGCAAAAATGAGGTAGTCAAGAAGGCATATGTATTCGAGGAAGACGATTTGCGGAAGTTTTTTACAGATGCACCGGACATTACGTATTTATTTTTTTAAGGTGTTGAATAAATTTTTTGAAAAATTTCTCAGAAATATTTTATTTGACCTTACAAGGCACTCCTGTCAGATCAATATTTAAAAAGTTGGCATTTAGACATTACGTTTCTCGGGTTGTTGATGTTGCCATGGTAACTTTAAAACGCGCGTTTTTTAAAGTTCGTTTTAAACACGCTATGGCGTACTTTAAATAAGTAAAATAGGGTACCAATAAAAAAAAATATATTTTTTTTCTCTTCTCTTCTATCCGCATGCTATTTTTCCCTGCCTGTCTCCACTGATTGCCGTCTACTTTCGTGGTCTCCTTTCACTGTTCTACCTGTCTTTACAAATTTCGAAATAAAATTTTCCTTTTACCTTTTTATCTGTATTTTTCTTTATTTAAATTCTCCAACTATAACTTTTTTCACAACAATGTCTATTTGGGTCCGTATAAGATTAAGAGTGTCGGAATTAAAAGAATAAAATTATTGCAATAAAAAGTACTCATTTTATATAGTAAATCCCTAAAAAAAATTTGCGGAAATTCCACAAAATCTGGAGAAAAATGAATTAAAAGTTGTAATTTTATAGGTTATTTTAGGTGACAATTTCCGAAGTTTTAATGATAGTATAATTGAATTAACTTACTTTTGTTACATTTTAACTGAAATTAGATATCTATGGAAAATTATTTTGCATTTGCTAATTTAATTTACATTAAAATTAAATGCATTGTATTGTCTGTTTAACCATTTACTTCCACAAAACATAAAATGAAAAAATAAATCATCAAATTACCTTTGTTGGCACATGACACATGGGGTAGTTGAGTTTGCAGATAGATGAGAGTTCAGAGCTAATTTGAAGCACTAAAAAGTACTTGTTTTATACAGTAAGTTAAAAATTTATAGAAAATCACTAATTTTTAAGAAAAATTCAATCAAGAATTGTAGTTTTTTAGCTTATTTGCCTTATTATTGACTTTTAAATTTTTGTGGTGTGGCATTTAAATTTCTTAAGTAGTAATTACTGACTTTATGTAAAATGGAATTTAATTATATAATATATGTTATGAGAGTTTATAATAAAACTGATGAATAGTTGTTGGAATGGATGAGTAGGAATAAGTTAGTAAAAACAATTTCGATGCAAACAACGTCTTTGCCTAACCTTACGTCGGCCATCATAAGATCATGCTACGCTTGTCCCACCCACCTCCTAACCAATACTTTACAGAAGAGAGCGCGCCCGGCCTACTTTTCGAAATTCGCGCGAATTTCGAAACGTAGGCCGGGCGCGCCATTTTTTCCCTTTAGAGCACGCTTACGCAGAAGAGAGCGAGCGCGCCCGGTCTACGTTTCTAAATTCATTTATCTGCTATTTATGTAGATAGTATCGGATAGCATTACTATGATATAAACAATAAACGTTCATTCATGAAGACACAATATGCTTCACGTTTTCATATTTATATTTTTAACAGACTTCAAAAAAGGAGGAGGTTATCAATTCGTCGCGATTTTTTTTTATGTATGTTCAGCGATTACTCTTTAACACGGTGTCCGATTTTAATGATTATTTTTTTGTTAGAAAGAGGGTACTTCAGGGGTGGTCCCATATATATTTGGTCAAAATCTAATAATTGGGTCAATGAGAAAATCCTCAAACTCTTCATTTTTTATGTATGTTTAGCAATAATTCTTTAATACGGTGTCCGTTTTCAATGATTCTTTTTTCGATAGAAAGAGGGTACTTCAGGGGTGGTCCCATATACATTTGGTCAAAATCTAATAACTGGGTCCATGAGAAAATCCTCAAACTCTTAATTTTTTATGTATGTTCAGCGATAATTCTTTAACACGGTGTCCGATTTCAATGATTCTTTTTTTGTTAGAAAGGGGGTACTTCAGGGGTAGTCCCATATAAATTTGGTCAAAATCTGATAACTGGGTCCATGAGAAATTCCTCAAATTCTTCATTTTTCATGTATGTTTAGCGATAATGCTTTACGACCTTGTCCTATTTATATGATTCTCTTTTTTGTTAGTAATGGGGTACCTCAGGAATGGCCACATATACATTTGGATAAGATGTGCTGACGGCATCTGCACGTTTTTGAAGTCGGTTTTTTTAAATTTTTAATTTAGATCACTTGTCTTTCATAAAAAATCAAATTATGGGTGAATTGTCCCGAAGGACATCTGCGAAATGAATAGAAGAAGAACTAATCAAATTATAGGCTGTCCAAATCGGCCAGCAGTGTTGCACTTCCGGTCTCCTTGATGGAACGGATTTTTAGTATGTCAAATATGGCCTATATCCTATCCAGTAAAATAATACAGATCAGTGGGTGGTAAACCATGGAGAAAGGATAAATAAGAGTTGCAGATTCCACACAGAAATTTGGCAACATGTTTGCCTTCAGCGACATATGGGATAGTTTTGTGCAACTAATACTCAGTCTGTAATATAAAAAGCTGTAATGCGCATCTCATGCGTGTTAAAAAATGGTATAAAATAAATACATGGATACATGTTAAAATATACTTTATTCAGCTCTTATAAAGGTCAAATGTGTACCTCACCTTTTAACGACCTTGAATCAACAGCTGTCAACTAAAATCAAGTTCTTGCATAAAAAAAATTCAGCTTTGTTTACAATTTCGCCTCCATAGTTTTCAGCATTACTTGAGTTTTAAATACTCATAACCTTCTAGTAACATCGCTTTGGCATGAAAGATCTTTTGTTCTAATTAAAAAACAACTGTCTTACATCATCCTATCTAAAATCACACATTCTGGAAACATTCGGTATGTAATACTCGTTATTACGCTACCAGATTTACATATGAACTAAAAACAGTACTTATTATTTTCTATTAGGCATAGCCGTGTTTTCACAGCCAACATGCGGCAATTACGAGATCCCCACTATCATGCTTTCTGGCTCTGTGACTGACATTCGGTTCGGCTAATTTTCCACCACAATATCTTCTAATTTTAGTCGATGACTAACTGTTGTCCTGTTGATATTTTATATACTAGTCGTATAAATAAGTACTGTATATGATGTACACACAACTTTTCGAAGTTGCGACAGTGGGTGTTGTATCGAAATATGCGCGAGGGTGTGGATTTTTGTGCTTATAGGTTAAAAAACGGCTCTAAAACTAGTAATTTTCATTTTTAAGCTTTAATAATATAAATATAAACAGGCTATAAAAATTATAAATATATCCTATGACATAACATGTTTGCTTTGAGCAATATTATGTATTTTTGGCAGTATTATTCTTAAATAGGTTTATTTTGCGAGTAGGTAATTTTAATTGTTGAAGTAGATAATAAATAAAGTAATTTTAGCTTCTATGTAAAGTCTGATGAGATTTTTTTGGAAATGCACTCCAGCAGAGCTTCGAAAAAATTTGGAAAGCCATCATAACCTGAAAAAAATAACAAAATTAGTAATCGCAATAATTATAAAATGGTTTTAACGTTCATCTTGTATCACTTAGATTACAATCCAAACATATCGGTTTAAAAAAAAAGATATATCATTCAGGGTATTGCGAGGATATTTCCACAATTCAATTTTACGTTAATGTTGTTTTAGTAACCTAGGTTTTACTTCCAGTAAGAAAAATCGCAATTATTAAGCTATATTCCAAATTTTGTGAAATATGTATCTGGTCAGTCGTAAATCAGAAACAGCAAAATTAGACGACAGAAAATGCCAGCAAAGGCATCTTATTATTATTTTCTACGCCTAGAAGCATATACGATTGTGGGCAAAAAAGCAAAAATCCTTCCATGTGAAACATTACTTTCAATTTTACTCGTTACATAACCGGTCCCACCGCCCAGGGGCCTATTACCTAACGGCGTTCGTTATCGTCTCGCATGCGGTGACATATGAGAGTAGAAAAATGGTATTCTTGAAAGCCTTTGTCGTGTCGTATGCGAGTGATCCTGCATGGGTCGCTTGGCGAATAATTTGCAACGAACGGTCTTGACCATGATATAAAAAACTACAAAAGTACCATACTTAGGCAGGCAGACAGACAAAACAAACAAAAGCGGCTTAATCGAGCTGACCTTGACGAGAAGGGACTTGAGGGACAAAACTCCAACTTGCATGTGGCGAAATGGTGCACCTTCCACCATGAAACAAAAAAAAAACCAAGGGCCATATCTTAAGCTACTATTTGGGAACGCGCGACAAAGGGAGACGACAGGTAGCAAGCGGCAAATCCTACCGCACTAAATGTGGTGTCGTCTGTCGCGTCTTCCCAAATGTGTTTCATATAATTACATGTGTTCAGACGTGAAGAGACCATTTTCAGTCTCCTTTGCTGTCGCTTCGCGTTTGAAGTCGGTCTCGGTCTCGACTTCCGAAATGGTAGCTTTACATTTCAAAAAATAAATGGGGGGAGGGACTTTAAGATCCGCACTGTATATAAAACATATATTTGTTCTTAAAAAAAAAAAATTGAATTCCTATAACAATAATTCATAATTGGAATCTCTTTCAGGATACCATAATTTTTTAAGTAAGAAAATTTAAAAAATCTTTTCTGAATATTCTCAAGTAGATGTATGTATTTATTTATTCTGATAAGGGTTTCAGATAACCAAGCAATATTCGAGTTTGCTTCTCACGAGTGAATAATACAGTGAGCATCATAAGTCTTACCCCCCTCGTTACTGGAGTCTTGTTAGGAAAATCGCCGATTTTTGATTTCTACAATGTACACTTTTGTATGAATAGTTTACCCTTAATTTCATCCCTTACTGGAGGGGAGCAACCCTTTCGAAAAATTTAAATGGCATGGGGTGGTGAGTGATATCTCATTTGAAAGGGGGTTTTATTCTCTATTCAACCGTGCAAAAAATTTTGAAATTTGCTTAATTAATTCTCGACTAATTATTGTTTCAGAATATCGGTTTTGGTTCAGACGTGAAGTAAGACTTTTTGTCATTAGATAAGGTCACTGTTAGTTTAGTTGCTTTCCTATTTGTGATGTTTTGTTATTTTTAAACATTAATAAATCAACACGTAATGAAGCAAATTTCAAAATTTTTTGCATGGTTGAATAGAGAGTAAAACCCCCTTTCAAATGAGCTATCACTCACCACCCTATGCCATTTATGTTTTTCGAAAGGGTTGCTCCCCTCCAGTAAGGGATGAAATTAAGAGTAAACTATTCATATAAAAATGTACATTGTAGAAATCAAAAATCGACGAACCACGGCGATTTTCCTAACGAGTTAGTTAGGAGGGGTAAGACTTATGATGCTCACTGTATATAGTTTTCATTGCATCGAAGGATCTTATGTCTTTACAGTTCCTAATCAAAAATCTTGTTATTCAGAGCCTCCATTAACAGTGTTTCAATGTGTTGTGAAGGTTAGTTTCGAATCAAATATAACGCCTAGATGAGGGATCCTCATTGGCATTTTTTAGTGAGCCATTATGCTGATAGTAAATTATTGTGAGGGCCGCAACTTCAACTTAAATTTAAAATGTCTCATTCGCCATTTGGTAAAAACTGAACGATTTAAATTTTAATTAATAATTGTCGTTATAACAATATCAGAAATTAAACATAAACGTTTTTAATAACATTGCAATATATTACAACTGTGTTTTTTCACTTATAGAGTTTTTTAGTTGTAAAATTTATTTTTCTTTTATTTTTTAAAATTATATTATTGAATTAAACTTATACTTTTTTACCTTTTTTTACTGCAGGTACTATGGTAAAGTAGGTAAATTATAAACATAATATCGACTAGGAGCCTGCAATATCTCCTAACTGTTGTTAGGCTAACTTTTTAGGAAAATAAAAAAACTGTTTATTACTCTTATTTTTTTACTTTTTAGTATGCGATAAGGAAATTTGTTGTTGTATTACGTGCATATAAAAGGCCAAGTTAAATAAATTTCAATATTTTTATTATTAATTTTTTTTTAAAGATAGGAGAAAATGATATTTAGGTAAAAGGTACATAGGAGATTTTAACTTATGATTAAAGTAAATAAAACCAAGAACGTAAAATAAAAAACAAACACTTTATTTTCAAAGTACGAAAGTAAAAAAATAAAACTAAAAAACGAATTATTTAATTATTTTTAGTCGATTAACGTAAAATTATAATAACGAACAAAATTAATTAGTGCTGCAAATTGTCGTAAAAATGGTGAACATCCCTTGGTAAGACTGACTTCAATTCTTGGAGATGCTTCCATTTGGTTGCTGGAATTTTGCATCTTTGAGTATGCAAACGAGGATATTCAGTTATAACTGAAATTTGTCTGGCTCTTACGGGAAGATCCATCCACTCAGAATTATAATCTAGTTTTACTTGAATTTTTGAGTTTTCATATTTTATTGCTTTTATATCGGTAACCGTTGAATCATCTTTTAGTTTGCCAGGGCAAATCGAAGGGTATCTAAAATGTTCAGTTAGAGAAAAGTTGGAAAAGAAGCTATAGGGTAAATCCAGAGCTTCATAAGGTCTAGGGTTTTGACGTGCTTCTCTGGTAACAGATAGATAGTCGCTGGGTAGATGTATCTCACGATTTTTCAATTTTCGTTCTATAGCCGCATGTACTGAATCGCACTTCATAAAGGTGTGCCCACTTTCCAAATACTTTTAAAAAATGGTCACTTAATGCTTGATGGAAAAGTTAAGAAGTGCATTAGCCATTATATTATTACGATTCTGATATGTGCATCCATCAGAATAAATAATAATTGGTACGTTTGTTGGAATACACTTTTTCTCTAGATAATCTAGAATGCACTAAACGAAAGTTGATGCTTTGAGCTCGTTTTGATCTTCTGAAAACCAGTAGCACGTAGCGTTATGAGTTTTCAGGTCATACACTGTAAAATTGTGATTACACAATTTTGTCTTGTAATAAAGGGGCTAATTTCACAGCCTGTAGATCTACACACAATGAAATACATTCACCTTCTATTGCTTTTTGTTTATCAAATTCTTTTTCTTTCCGTGCTCGATCTTTTCGATTTCTATGTGAGATGTATTTAGCCTCAGAAAGATTTCCAGTATTGTAAGCACAACAAGTATTGCATTGATCTTTTTTGAGTGTATATACAGAGAAATTTTTGTCTTTGAATCTTTTGTAAAAATATTTCCTAGACACAGCCTGTAAGTTGTTATCTTCACAATATATTTTATATCGCTTGTAAACTTCAACCAGAGTTTTAAAAATCGGTTCCGAAAACATTTTTGATGAACTTTGTCTGGCATAGTGCGATGGTAATTTGGACAATTCGTCAAAAAAATTGTCCATATTTTCAGTATTTGAAGCTGTGCGAGCCTTTAGAGCCTGTCTAACAGTTATCTTCCTTTCAGAATGTTGGTGCATCCCATAGTTGCTACTGTTTACCCATTCTTGCACTGTCTTATATCCTAAATCAAAAGTACTTAGAAACATGGTAAGGCACACTTGCAACTTTTCGTTATTTGTATTTAAATAATAGACAAACGTTCCCTGTCTCCTAGATTCATGATCAGCAGTAATCGTCTTTCGCTTTACTGTCATCTTCTCAACATGTGTAGATATGTAAACTTTTCGTTGGTCCCACGACATCTCCTTCCAAAAATACTTAAATAAACTTTCTCTTTGCTCATCTGTTATATCTGAACACTTTTCCTTACCTTTGACTTTCGACAAAATTCTGATTTACATGCTGGTTTTAATGTCCTTTCCGGACGTACTATGTCTTGTTTCATTTTTTTATTTTTCTTTTTGAAAAATCCTACAAATGCTTCCCCTCGTTCTCGCATTTTCTTGTTTTTCTCGCGGTTCCATAATTCTTTTTCAGATTTTAATTTTCTTTTTCTACACAAAAAAGATAAGCATGCTCAAATTCATAAACTCCTATCTGTTAAGGAGGTCCTTTCGCCTACAATGTTAAATAAAAAATATTAGATTATGACTAAAATTAATTTTTTTCTAATAGTTGAAGTCCTTATTTATCTAATAGTGAACTTTTAACTATACCTTACCGTGCAAATTTCAAAAATTTGCACGGTAAGGTATAGTTAAAAGTTCACTATTAGATAAATAAGGACTTGAACTATTAGAAAAAAAATAAATTTTAGTCAAAATCTTTTTTATTTAACATTGGTGGCGAAAGGGGTGGCGAAAGGACCTCCTTAAATAAATTAAACATTTGCAAAATCCTAATTTTCAAAGTGATCTATTGTAAAAATTCACTCAAATAATAAGAATAAGATTTTCACTGTTTACTGTAAATAAATTAACAAAGACTAATTTTCATTAACGTTAGAAAAATTATCTACTTACCGCAGAGCTACAAGCAACACGTGGAAACACCTGTTATTGTATGTAGTTAGGAGATTATTGAGTGGAATAATAGCGTGTATATATTAGGAGGTATTGCATCAG